TGCACGCTCTGTCTAGAGAAAAGCCTCACGGCGAGGTCTGTGTCCTTCTCATTTCTTCCTTTTCCCTGCCCATCCCGGTGAACTCTGAGCTGTGGCCGCGGGGCCTGCCGATCCCGGTGGCCCCCGCCTCCTTGGGGTCTTTGTTTCGTGGTTTCGCCAAAGCCCCTCGGAGCGTGTGCCCAGTTTCCGCCCCCTTGCTTTTATTTTGCATCGTTTTGACATCGTTTTCCCCTCACGTATTTCAGGCTGAACCCTGTTGGGGACAAAACGGCTTGAACTCCATGGGGCTTTCTTTCGAGTCAGAGGGCAGAGTTACCCGGCCCTTGGCTGGCCCCTTCTGGGCTCCCTGCATGGCGTGAGCCCAGCCCCTCTGCCAATTTGGGCACAGTGTATTGCGCACACCCGGAAAGCAGGTTAATTCAGCAGCCAGGTGGAGCTTCGGGTGCGAATGCAGAAGCGCTGCAAGGAGATCAGGATATTCCCGTTTTTGGTCTGGCTGTTTTGAAGGCTTCCAGATCATCTCAGTGCCAAATTCCTAGCTGGAGGGTGGTGAAAAGCGTGGTCCAAGGCTGCTCCTTCATCTGATACGCTGCTGCTGCTGCGTGATCTTTCTAACCCGCTTCTTCCGTTGGTGGCAAACCACGGGCTTTTTCTCAGAGGTGAGAGAAACGCCTGCGCGTGGAGTGAGGTGCTTCTGCGCCCGTTCAGAGGCGAGGCGACACACATCCTGCAGCTTCCCCCCCAGAAAATCCCAGCGAAACCTCTGTGGCTTTTTTGGATTGAGAAGGTGCAAAACCCCACACGTGGATGGGAAACTGAAGGCCAACAGACTCATACGCACATGCACCCCCCCCACACACACCAGCATCTTCGCCACACTTCAATCAGCTCCACGCATATGCGCACCCGGCCTGCTGGACCCCTTCAGGGTATGCAGAGCGCAGAACAGGCGTAAGGAGGAGGAAGCCCGAGAAATTAAAGACATTAAGAAAAGATGGAGCTAGTTTAAAGTCCCCGAGGACTTGGCAGAGAAACAGGCTTTCCTTGCAGAGCTAAGCGCATAAAGAATGTGAAATTGGAGGAGCCTTTTCAGCCAGAAAAGGCCCTCTCAGGAGGGCTTGGAAAAGGGAGTCACCAAAGTTGTTCAAGGACACAGAGCTCCCCCAGGGCTGTGGACCAGTCTCTGAGCCCAGGAAAAGCCCTTGGAGAGGGCCTGGCCTCCATCGGGAGACCAACCGCGTGGTTGGCTCTCCTTTTCCCCCCTCTTCCCAATCTTCCTTTCTCTGTGGTTTGTTTTTAACACATACTCATCTGAAATAATTCCTTAATCCTTTTTTCTCTCTCTCTTCATTTTCCTCTCTTCCCCATTGTTTAGTTTTAATTTATTTGCACAATACAGAGGATGTATTCTAACTAAATTATTACATAAATATTGGAATTTATATTTTTCCACATCGGGTGGGGGATTTTGTGAGCGGGTGGGGGTTCTTGTTTGGGTTTGGGTTTTTTGCTTTGAAGTCCGGGTGATGGCTCCGCAGAGCGAAACGTAGGGTGGGTTCTGTGCCGAGAGAACAAATACTCTTTGATCATTTTCCCTCCCCCCCCC